CAGACTCACGGACGCCTGTCAAACAACTCAACCTAGAGGCACCGCGTCCCTAACCCCCTTGGGGGGAGCTTCGCACCGAGCGCTCCGCGATTTTTTGAGAAATCCTCCATTAATTTATATAGTCCGTCACGTCATGTCTCGTCTCGGTCAGCTGTCAAGAGGACCGCCAGGTAGCACCTGCGCTCCTGCGTCATTACCCAGCGGCCAGAATTGGGAAGGAATAAGGATAGGGGTAAGGTTTAGGACGCTAGAACTAGCTTCTGTGAAGCACGCAAACTCGTTTCATGGTAACAAATTTCACATGTGGTTCTCCTGGACTCGATCCCGGAACCTCAGAGGTGAAAGGCAAGCGACTTCGCCACGAGAGCACCCTCTCTTACAGCCCTTTCCTCCAACTCAAGACCATCACCTTATCGCGCTCATTCCACGGACAGCTCAGACATCTCTCATAGGGTCAGAGAATTTGGAACCGAACTGTACACAGCCTTTTCTCATTTGTATCTCTCATTATCACACGTCTACGATAGAACATCCTAATATACTTAATTTTATAGATACATATTATACACAACTTTCCATTTTTAACATTGTAAGACTAAATTTTGCTATTTACAATATTTCACGTAATTGATAAACTACTTGTAATAGATATAAACTTTCGTATTTCCTGCTTTAACATTGCAAAACATTAATTACTTTGAATTTTACACTTTTCAATATTCATCACAATTGACAACTAGGTATAAAACCTGACATTTTCTCTACTTTTTTAACATTACAAGAATTTTATTACTTTGAGTATATAACAATTTACAATATTCTCACTTCTTATGTACATCTACTTTTATAAATACATTCAAAACAAATCTAATACCAAATGCCCTAATTACATACTCTACTGAGTGCTCACGTCTGCGCCTATAATGAATCCAGGCATCAAAACTTTCGACTCAATGCGTCGACATTTACATGATCAAGCCCCTTTTTTGTGAATTATACTGATATTGTATTGCTTAATCATCAATGACCAGCGCATTAATCGAGGATTTTTCCCGGCGCAATTTTTCAACCAAACTAAAGGATAATGGTGTTTCTATTTTTATTATCACTTGAACGTCTAAAAAGCACTTTAATTTCTGAAGGGCCCAAGTAATGGCACTACTCTTTTTTCGTTCTAGAAAATTTCTGTCCCCTATCAGAAAACTTCGTTCTTAAGTATAGTATAGGGTACTCATGCCCATCATCATTATATTGTGTCAAAATAATTCCTACTCCTCTATCGCTGGCTTCTATTTGGATCATAATGCCTCTTACAGCTCGCGAAATGCTTTCTCACCTTACGGCGTCCACGTGACTTGACCCTGGCGCTGGTGACCTTTCAGAAGGTCACTTAAAGGCGCTGATTTATGCGCGAACCCTGTAATGAACTTCCGATAATAAACCGGAATAAAAAGTCCCAGAGACGATCGCACCTGTTTGTTTGTTTGTTTGAGGCACTGTAAATATAATTGCTTCTACCTTCGCTTCGACAGGTTTCGTTTTCTCGTTTCCTACAATATAGACTAAGTTCTGTATTATACGCGCAAGTTTTCGTGATATTCCATAGCGGGAGTTGCGGAGAGGGGATGGATTTGACTACGTTACGATTGAAAGGGGCGTACCAACTGTGGGCATGAACGTAATTCGCCGAAGCATGCCACGAGAAATGCTACGATTGTTTTGGAAGTACGAGGTGGTTGTTGCCAGCATTGTAAATTGGTACGTGCCGTTCCGAGCCAAACCTAAGTATCTCAACGTGCTGTGCTATTCAGCGCTGAATGAGAACTAGGGAGCTCGTGTATCAAGAAAACTTGCGCGAATAATACGGAGTCACGCGCGTACTTTGCACTTTTTTGGTTGTACGTAAAATTTAGCGTTTCTGAGTATTTTGAACACTTCGTCCAGATGGATAATATGCTCTTGCCACATATCGCAAAAAACTGCAATGTCGTCCACATATGGCAACGCGGATGTCCCGCAGTTAATAGAGACGCCGTCATGCGACCACATCGATACGGGACAATCTTTACTCCTAATGGAACGCACAGTGGGCGGTTCGTGCTAAAACTAGTCACGAAAGCAGCGTATCTCTGCGCTCTTGGCGTTAATGCAATCTCCCAATAGCCCTGCGCTACGTCGAGCGTAGTAACGCTGCTAGCTGCCGCCACTGTTTCTAGCCGCTCTTCCATATTCGGTGGACGATAGCACTCGGTTTTGACAACGCTGTTTAATTTCATGTAATCTCTACATGGTCTGGGCGCGTCGACTAATACCATAGGTGAAGTATAGTCCGAGTCCCCTACTTCAATAATATTGTCCCTCAACATTTGCGAAATTTCCTCTCAATATATGACAGCCTGCGTGACATACGATACGGCGCGCAGGCTGTCATATATTGATTTATGATCACCTCTATATCCATTGTCATATCCATTGTCATCGCATCAGTCAGGCACGGATTTTCAGAGAATATATCTTTATATTTTACAATCGTGTTAATCAGTGCTTATCGAAAACGAGGTTCGACTTCCATCCCTTGGAACATTGATTCAACATCGACTGGCTTTGGGGTCAAGATTTACAGCGAAGCTATTTGATTCGTCTTCCACCTCTTCCTGATTCCGCACGTTAGTTCCAATAAAGTCCAAATGCTCTGTCCGTTGTTGATATTCTTTTAGCATGTTGATGTGATAGACCCGCCTTCCTTCTTTCAGGGCAATCTCACAGCATCATTAGTATCGGACTCTTGTACCTGCATTATTCCCGGCCCGACCCACTGAACGGACAACGCCCGTGTCTTATTCGGCGCCAACACAAGAACGCGATTCCAACAGCTAAGTCATAATCACCGCTCTCTGTACGTAATAAACTTGACGTTTTTCCTGTTCACGCACGAGTATTTGGTGTGCGAGTTCCTTCGATTTACGTCATCTGTATATTCACTTAAACAGATGGTCTACCACTGAGCTTTATTCATCTTCCACCCCCGCCAAGTGTTCTCACAGAAGAGTTACAGGCATGCGTAGGTTTTCCCCGAACACCAGCTCCGCGGGAGTACTTAAACTTTCATGCATAGCTGTGCCTAGAGCGAAAATAATAGAGGGTAGCTGCGTCTCCCACTCTAAGCCTGCTTCTAAACAAAGCACTTTCAGCACACGGTTCATTGTAAGGTGGACCTTTTCAACGACATTTGACTGCGGGTGATAGGGCGAGCTTCGCTCCAGAGTAATATCAAACTGCTGTGCGAACTCCGTAAACAAAATGCTAGTGAAGCACGTACCTTGAACGGGTTGAATTTCGCGTGAAAATCCCATACGACTAAAAAGTTCTTATAGAGCTTCTGTAACAGTCGCCGATGTGAGATCGGTGACTGAAATAGCCTCAGGGTAACGAGTAGAGATACACATATCGCAGTAATTATATATTTCCGCCCTAATTCCAATTCGAAAAATAGCCCACAGATGTCTACATTTATTTTACTAAACGTTTCCGCCGCAACGTGCACAAGCTTCAGTGGCGCTTTCATCTTGTCGCCTGACCTGCCTACTTTTTGAAACTATCGCTCGTCCGGATATAGGTTTCCATACCCTTGAAAGAGTTTGGTCAAACGAAATGTGTAGCAATGCTGTCTTAGCTTTTGGTGGTCCCCAAATGTGCATATGCTGTTTCATGACACAGCTTCAAAATTGTACCTCAGTATATGTGGGGTATAACCAGCATGTTATACATGTATCCACGTTTGCTGTGCCTAGACTTAAAAAGTAAGTTTACTTTTACAAAATATAATAATTTTTTAAAACAGGGATTAAGCGCAATTTTCTTAAAAACGGCTCCAATTTTTTTTCGCAGAAAATTGTCATATTTGAAGAGTCTTTACTATTCTTTAATAATTTGAAATTAATATTTCGGTTTATTTTTAGGTAACCGAAAAATTAAGAAAATGATTAAAAAATGTACGTTTGGCGGCAATAGATGACAGCTGGCAAGAGTATTTGGCAAGTACGAAGGGCTAGCCGAGACCAAAGGAAATAAAAAAACTAATACGGGAAACTGTGCCATTCTGTAGCACCACTAATTATTTCTTCTTTGACCATTATGTGATCGGTTTCAAATATCAAACTATTGACAATCGTTACTCTTATACGTTTAAGTTGATTTGCCAATTTAAAATATATTTCGCGTTCGGGGAACACCATGTCCATTTGCGTATTGGAATACCGTGAAAGAATGAATTCGCTATTTTCAACCTATGACTTTTGGCGAACTGATCTAGTTTGGTCCCTCTTTCGTTCCTTATGCCAGTTCCATGGGGTCCGTCCGCTTCTTCACTCTAATTGACTTGTTTCCCCATTTTGTTATTGAAGTCTCCTATTATGAAATTTACATCTGATCTATATTTAGTATAAGTCGAGATTGTTGTAGAATTCTTTAATTTTTTCTTCAGCACTATCTTCAGTCGGTGAATACACTTGAATCATGGTTATCTGCTCCCTTTTTGTACCTTTAGAGTTATTACTGCTATTCGTCTGGAAATTCATTTCGAGTTTTATATTTTACTTTTTCTGTGACTTATGGAAACATTTATAAGTTAAACTTTAACATTGAATCGTTGAGTGGCAGTTGATACTCAGGATTCAGCGAAGTCCAACTAGCGAACAGCTACCCTATCCTGATGCAGGTGGCATTGGTAGACCAATCCGCCTGCGATAGAGTACAAAAGTTTCCAGAATAATTACGACGTCATCATTCTCGTTGTTTCTCTTATTTCTGGAGGTGCCAACTATACCTCTGATTCATTAGACAACTTAAACTAAAGATTTGGCCGATTTATTTGAGCAACCATACGGCAGCAATGTATAACACAAACTGACTTGCGTTCTGATCTGAGCGTCACTCAAATGTTCTCTCTACACTAATATAAAAATAAATTGAAAGTGACAAACAATATATTATTAAATGCAATTTTAATGTGCACAGTCATACGACACAATTACTAGAACGATTCTCAAAGATTAATTTTCAAAATTTGGTTTGTAAACTTCTCTGTGATTGGTTAAGGACCTATATTATAATGAAATCAGTATTGTAATGAGTATCATCATGCAACGAGTTGCAGCCATCAAATAACAGAATTCATTAATGGGAGTAGAAAAAAATTCAATTCTATTATTAGGGGACTGAACAATTGAATAAAAAAGGTGACAGAATTTCGTTCCAAGCTGTTACCGATAGGAAACAGCTTGAAAGAGGATAGTGCAAGATCGGAAAACTAGCCTAGAATAGATAAATCGAAAACTAATAGAGAAAGTGTGCCATTCTGTAGCACCACGGTAGTACACATTTGGAGTGGTAAAATAGGATATGAACAATGATTACTTCTGTATTTATTTTGGTTACAAGCATTGTGTTTTATTAATAAAGAAAATTGACATTTTTGGTCTTAAAATATTTATTGTCTTGCTTTGTAATGTTATGTTAGCCATACCAATAAACGGTTTGAACACCATGATAACTGTTGAATTTTCCTTTTTATATTTGAACTCTTCAATGGCAGTGTCAAAGTGTCATCGTCAAAATACTGCGAACATATTTAGTATCAATAAGAACTGTTGCTATTTATACATTCCCATCAAGATGTATACTTTTTTAAAAGAATGGAAAAGGAAAAACAGCTATTTTAATTAATGCTAATGAACTGACATATTTCGAAATAGGAAATATAAAATTTTTGAATTGTGCAAGAACATTTCACATTATCAGCAGTTAACTAAGTGAAGAGCAAGAGGTCATCATAGTTTCTTGATTCCTAGGATCTTCCGGTTCTCCAGCAGAAGAAATACCCCAGGGGTTGATGCGACTCATTTTAGCCGCCGCGTCTTCTTCCATTTCCTCGTCCGCCACGTCCGCCACCACCACGTCCGCCACCGCCACGTCCGCCCGCCACGACGCCACGCGCCGCCTCACCCCCGCGTCCACCTCCACGTCCGCCCCGCGTCGCGCCCCGCGTCCGCCTCCACTCCGCGCCGCCCGGAAAGGGTTTCTCGAAGTGGACATGTACTTGGCGCTTTTCTCTAACCTGTAGGAAAGAAAGCAAAACCAGTTTTTACATCATATCTGCTTACAAACCACAATCATAATAGCACAAGTTTTTTTTTAAGAAGTCAGCATCATATTGTTTTAACAAAAAGTACGAGGAGCTGGATGTTATGAAGTAACTTGTATATGGCCAGTGCAGGTAATATGGCCAAGTAGCAGTTATGGTGTTAGCTGAAACTATTTCCGAGTGATTGTGCTAGCATGCCGACTGGGAGTGTGTAACAAGTGCGTTAACATCCTACCAGACTTGTGGATTCGCGCATTCGCACTCTGGAGATTTTATTGTCAAGGCGCGCTATAGGCGCTCTGTCCTTATAACTTCTTATAAATTCTTATGCTATTGTTTAAAAAAAGGATTTATTTCAGGCAGTGAGATTACACTGTAGGAGTGTAATTTATATTATACAAAATATAGCTAGATCTAAGTCCATGGTCATGTTACAAGAAACAAGTTAATTTGGCAGTGGCCATAATACCTGCATTTGAGCATATTACCTTCAAATTACAACGTTGTTGTAAAATAACAACAATATATTCCTGAATAATTTTTTGTGATATAGTTATTTCAACTTGAAGCTAAAGTATTAAATTCACCATGATGCTGTTAATTTGGCCAAAAGTTGAAATATATTAACAAAATTTGAGGAGCTTAATGTGGCCATATTGCCTTTATATTACCTTCATACCTTATATTCTAGCGCCCCCTGCGAGATATCGCATGTTAAATCCCATCCTCTTCCATATCCTTCTGTTTTTTTCATTAAGGGGAAAAGTTATTAATGAAACGTGTTTATAAAAGCGTGAAGCAGTTTTAATGACAGAATATGGAAAATTAATTGCTGATCAAAATATTGTTACTCTGATATTACACAAACTTTCAGAAATCAATTTTGCGAGTGGTTGTTGTGAAGTGAAGAAGATAGTTATGAAAACGTTTGCGAGAGTAAGAATTTACTATTTGTTGAAGCTCACCGACAGAGAATTACTTCAGCAACGAAAGCGCAAGACAAAATATTTAAATTCCATCATTTGGGATGCTAATATTTTATTAGTAAAAAAATAGAAAATAATTTGTAGCACTATGAAATAAAATGTAAACAATCGGCATTTTTTTGCCCGGCTACGCACAAATTTTCTTCTCTCAATATACCCTTCTGCATGCACTCAGAATCTCATGATTAATTTTTATAATTTTTGTACATATTTAGATTAGCAGTTTGTAGACATTTTCATGAAAAGTAAAGAAATTGTTATTACACACGATGTTATTAAATTTCAATGGCCACATTAATTGAGTTTAAATATAATTTCTTTTTTTCCAAAATAGTTCAAAATTGTATCTCGTGTATAACAACACCTGTCGTATATTTAGGTATATTCGAGAGGAAATTAAAATATATAAACATTTTCTTTTCGGTCATATTTAGCAGAACGAAGCTTTATTACGATTGTAATATCGAATGATGTAGGCTTAGTGTTCCTTTGTCGCCGCAGGGAACGCTGATCGCAGCATTGACAAAGGATGTTTGACACGACGTTGCGCCCCTGTATGATAAGAATGCTGTGGAATAATCGAGAAACGCCGAATTGACAAAAAAAGAATAGAATGTCGAGAAGGATCTCATTCTGTAGATTATGAAGGGAAGAACGTTTTAAAACTTACGGTTTTAAAACCCTAGAACGCTTTGTTTATGAGTTATTATACTATAAATGCTGTACGAGTGTTGCGGATGGCATTTGGCATGAATATACACGTAACTTTAAATTAACTTATCTCCATAGCACGTAACAGTTTTTAAATGATTATGACGTAAATAAAAAAAATAGATACGGTTTTTAAACAACCTTCATATTTTTAATGTGCAATTCGTCACGTTTTCGTGAAATTCTCTTTCTTTAGAGACCTCTTTTAAAAAGATTGGTTGCATGTGAGAGCCTCAAAAGGTATACGACTGAGATAATACAGGTGACAATGTTATAACATTTGCGGTGATTGCTTAATGCCTGTGTCTACGAATCCACCGCGCATTTTATTGAGTTCATATGAAACTTGAATTACCAACAAGTACTTACCACATTACAAAGTAAAAATTCATGAGCATGAAAGTGTTATATTGTATGGTGACAATAGTTTAAACCAATTGAATTTTTAAACATCTGATTTAAATCAATGAAACTTTGTTGTTTGAAAACCTTATTTTGAAACTACATATGATGGAAGTTTTCTCAAACTGTGTCTTTTTGTCGTCATTTTAATGAATAAAATACAGAAATTAATGAATTAAAAAGTGAACAGAAGCTATATATAACTCTAGTTGAACATTTGAAAAGCGAAACAGTTTCCAAAATGACACAAATGCAATTACATTATAGTTATAAGCTTACTGAAACTGTGCCCGAGTACAAGCATTTGCTCATTCGGGTTATTTCATTAATTTAACAAATATAAATGTTTTCATGATTTGATATAAATGAACAAAATTTCAGCAACCAGCAATGAAAAATTTACTTTAATCTAAATATTGAATATTTGATTCTGTCTTAAATACAATTATCAATATTTTAAAAATATGTGACAGCTATTGAAAATCCATACAATCACTTAAGCGTTAGTCAATATTAATAACATAGAGCTTAAGTTGAAAATTAAAAATTAATTATTTCAATCAATCAAGCAGGGTAATAATATTGCTAGGAGTGAAACATTGCTACAATTTCGGAAAATTTAAATAGCGTGGTCTGCGTCGAAAATTTATTTTCCCATAATTAGCTACTTGTCTTAGAAACATTACATACAATCGTCGTTTGCATTTGGTAACTTGTAACCCAAAGTGGCCGTGTATGGTGTATTGTTACGCAGCCAAATCTCGTAATCGAAACTTTGTTAATTTGGATTATCCTTGTAGAGTGTATTTAATCTGTCAAAACCAAAGTCTAATAACAAAAAAAAAAGCATTCTCTAGTGTCTTTGAATACCTGTCGCACGTTTAGTCATTGAAACACCTACTTGGTGACATTGCCACATTTCTTGTTTTCAAAAAATAATAAAATCGTTTAAATTATGAAAGCTATGACTTCAACATTTTGAATAAACGTACTTTTATTACTGATTTTATTGTCAAAATTAATATTGTAAAGATTGGTGCAACAAAGCAGAACATAAAAAGAAACAAACATGTGGTAATGTTAACCCCCGATATAGTATTATTTATCTGGTAAAAATGTTCAAATAGTCGATGCTACTATAAACAGTATAAGTATAAATGAAGTATTCGATGATTGTGATATTCGTTTTAAACTTCGGCAGCTCTCCTTTTTTCTTTCTTAAATTCGTAGTGTAGATGATTTATGTAATGCTGCTAAACATCGATGTTAAATTTTTGCCGGAAATTCACATTTTAGGGGTTCCTGATACCGAAAAAAGTGTTGGTTTATTGTTGTTTTTGGCCAAAACGCGTCTGGGTTCGTCCGTTTATTTGGGATCAACGCCAGAGAATAAAGATTCACTTTTTAGTAAATTATCTGAATATTAGAAAATTGCAAAAGTTACAAAAATGGCCCCTACCTGTAACTATATTTTTTTAAATAGAGATTTTTTTAATGAAATCTGTTGTTCAAAATTAAATATTTAAATAGTGACGAACCTTTCTTCGAGTTTACGAGTTTTCATGTAATTTTAGTGAAATCGTGACGATTAAAAAGTACGTAACAAGATATTTTCAAAAATGGCTCCAAATGTTTGATCATTTTTTTCTTTAAATGAAGCAACGTCAGCTTTATAATTAGGTGAAGGTTCTATTTTCATTGAAACCTCTGGAATTTCTAAAATTGCAAAAGTTCATAGTTTTTCGAATCTGTCCTACACTTTCAATTTTGAACTATGTAGCATTAAGTATCCAACCTACTTTTCTATATTAAGCCATTGAAATCATTTTAGGTACATTTTTTTCGAAATATGGGTATTTTTCATGTAATTGTGAGGTATATTGTTTGCGTTTTTCGAGTGATGGCTGAAGTATTAGGAGATACAGTTTTACGTAACCTTTACCAAAAATACTAGAACTAATATATTTTGAAGTTTACGTGTAGAAATGCTTTATTCTCGAGCCCGATTATTTCCGAAAAACCAAAATTGCAAATCAATGTACGCTTTTGATGCTAAATAATTATACATTACATTTAGAGAATAAAATGTGGATACAATTGTTTAAATTTGATCAATAAATAATGCATACAAAGGGAAATATTAAACTTATCCCACTGCCTTCGTATGCTGTCTACTTGCATGTTCAGATTAGATAGAATGATTCATTATTATATCAGATATAGCAAAGAGTAATGCTCTTTATTACTCTTATAATCAATATAGTTTCGTATATAATCTTGGCGTACAGTTATAAAATGTCATGATGTTATAAAACTGGATAACGTAAAAAACATTGTATCATTGTATATTCCTTAGGTGAACATATTATAATTATTACATGTTATAATACATGTGCGCCTAAGTAATTTGATACTCGCGGTACCACACTCATGAATAAATAACTAACTTGCACATAAGTGTCTTTTTAAGCCACTTGTGAGATAAGTATTATTAATAGTTATATTACCTAACTGCTTTTTTCAACCCTCTATTATTATTTGTCATATTGTTAAAGAAGTTTGGAATTAACGTCACAGGCCGAAGAAATGCGAATCATCAAGCGCAGCGTATTTACAAAATAGTACGAGTAGTTTTTTGAAAAACCAATTTAAGTGTGAAAATGAATAAAAAACGTAGCAAAGGATACGTAGTGAAATTTGCGTGATCAGACGGAAGAGCGGGTCAGATGGCCGGAGTCTCGCCACGTCAAATAAGGCTTCAATTCAATTCAATTCAATTCAAAGCAGATGAGTCACAGTTTATGATTGGCCTGTAGGAAGAAGCGCTAAGAAAAATCTGATAGAAAAAGCGATAAACTTTTTGAGATACACCGCCCTGATTGGGGCATTTTGAATGTATGCGTAAACACTACTGCTTTTAATTTCACGATTGACTAGTCCACGTAAACCTTTGCCTCCCGTAATCTACCCACCGGATGGGCGGGGCATTCGAAAACGTGTAGATTACCATGCTCTCCAGCGGAGTGTCGGCGTCGACGTCCGCAGCTGCTGCCGCGTCGTCTTCGAAGAGGGCGGCATCGTCTTCCTCCTGGCCGAGTTTAGGGGCGCTGTCGAAGACGGCGTCCGGGGCGGCGTCCTCGTCCCCCTCGGTCAGGCTGAGCGCCGCGTCCTCGGCCTCCGCCTCCGCCTCCGCGGCGCGTCCCCAACTCACCGCCAGCAACAGCAGCAGCAGCGCCCAAGCGCCGCGCACCCGCATCCTAGAGATGGCAGAAAGAAGTCTCGGGAAAGTTACAATAATTGCTGAGATTTTACATACATTAAAAACAGCGAAATATGCGAATATATATGTGAATATATTTGGTAATATATGCAATTAAAAAAGGAAAAGATCCGAAATAGTGTATTCGTAATGTAATGTGTAAGTGTAAAAATAGAAGATGTAATGTAGAAAATATGTTTACAGCGAAAAACGATACAGAAATCATGTAAATATACAATAGACAAACACTAAGTCATAGGCTTAGTTTCGAAGAACTCTCATTTCGTAGGAAAATAATTGGAGGTGCAGTTAATGTACATTTCTCAAAATAAAAAAAAAATAAAAATAGGTATTGCAACAAAATATGAGTTCTTCTCTATTAAGGTAAAACAACCATTGCAATATTAATATTTATATTATATGTGTACGAGAGTGTTGAAAAAATTGAATATTTGCAGTTTTCAAAATTCTAGAAGGTTTAATGAAAATCAGATTAGCGTCGTTTTTAGAAGTGTACTTTGCTCGAAGCAAGAAAAATGACAAACGGAGTTATTTTTGAGAAAATTTGAAAAAAAAAAAAGAAATTAAGGGACTTCATATACACCTAAAATTAAAAGACCTGTTTCACATTTGTTACCTGAATTGCTGAACTGAGATCTTCGGTGAAAGATTCTTCGTCCGTATCCGGATTCGATGTAGGCGAGAATGCTGTTTATTGGCTTCGGTGCTTTTTATATACATGTCCGATGTTTCCCAAGGTTTACCACTTCCTTTGACGACTTTCCATTTGAGAATCCAAACATCCTATTAATCTAATCGTTACAATACACCGCCACATACGTCCAAATAATAAAGTTATTATATTGTTTGAAATACCACGTGAAAATTGATTACGATTAATATTTTAACATTTATACGAAATTATGATTAATATTTTAAACTAGCAACATTATGGATAGGTAAATCGTTAGTATTGTGTTGCGGGGGAGGGGGGGAAATTTCGAGTTTTTTTAACACCAAAAATGTACATACAACAAACAATTTGGTATTATTATATCTTAATGACTTATAAATGGTTTCAAATCATAAATAATTCTTACTCAGTAATTAAATTTAAAAGAAAATTATAACGTTGTAATGGACGTTTTAAGCCATCGATAATACTATGAGTGCAATGAATAAATTTAAATCATACACGAAGAAATTTTACGTTAAGGACATTTGAAAACTTTCGAGTATTGTAATACATTTAAGTGTGGTTGTTATTTGTATGTAACTAGCTACATTGTAAACAGAATAACAAATCGCCCTTTGCCATAAAATGTTGTGATTCTACAATTTGGTACACACTTGAACGTACAATTTTAAAACGGTTATGTAGAACGATATTAAATGTTGTATTGAAAATGATGAAGTCTCTAATATTTCAGTTACCGTTTGGAATGTCTCTTTGCTAAACAGCTAAAGAAGTAGCGCATGCCATACTTTGTAAAACATATTTTACAGTAAGTAAAATTGACATTTTTGTTGCATACATGGCAAATAATGTGCATTACAACATTGAATTTAACTATTTTAATGACAACATTACTTAGTATCTATTCGTTGACTTCACAACCTTGTTTAGATGTTTTACTTCTGAAAGGTTCCACTCTTTAATGAACACATTTTTCTGATCAACGAACTTTACAGAAAATGTTATATAATGGAATACTTGCAGTTCATGTAACTTAGCACAACGATTTAGTTTACTTTCCTATAACAATGAAGTTATTGTTATAAAAACCCGATTTTTTTTCAAATTCCTATTCTCTAAGGCTTAATTGATATGAATATCCTAGAAGATAAGCACCTGTTTTTGTGTGGAAATGTTCGGGAAAACATTTGGACCCGCTTTTGAGAAAATTTCGTTAAATCGTTTGTGAAAATGCCCCATTTTGAGTTTATTCACAATCAAAAACTTTTGAGATTACGGGAAACATCATAAGGCATCATTTAAAACACTTTTACTCACAAATGCATTAAATTACGAAATATTCCTATACTGTAAGTATTAACAGTGTGAAAAATGTTTCAAAAATTATAAATGTTTAATTTTTGAAACATCAAAAGATTTAATCAAAACCGTGCTCGTCATGTAATTCAGTACTTTTCGCTATAACCGTGCAAAAAGTTTGAAGAAAATCTGAAATCCCTTTTTTTTGAAAAACTTTGTATACGTATTGTTTTAAAAATTGTCACCATTTTTCTCAAAATTTTCATATTTTAAAAAAGCGTACATGGTTGTTATGTATGTAAGGAACTTCTTCCCGCAACAGTGTTTGCTTCCTTAGGCGATCATGGGTATGTCCAATAATTTCAGATGCCACTGGTTTCCACTTTCCCCACGTCACTGTCCGTTCTCCTCGCTCTTGGGGATTATCAAATAATGCACTTAAGGTTCCAACAAAAAAGAAAATATATTTTTAGGAAGTTCTGGAAGGTTAATCCACTCGAAAAACTGCACCGCGTTCGCGGATATCTTGTTCTCTATTCTTGAACCACCAATTAATTGTGTCTAATACCTTCCCCAAGGTTTACCCAACTTTACCGAACATTGGTTGTTTCATAATGATCTAAACACACTTCAAATTCTTAGTTTTTACCTTGCAGAATCGTATTGTGGAGCTAAGAAATCATATAAGGGCCCTGCTTACGGTGGTTCGTGTATTTACGTAAGAAATGATATTGATTCTATCTTGTCAGAATTCAGTTTATATGCAGTTGAACATTTTTTTGAAACAACAGTCGTACATCTTACTACGCTCAAAACTACCTTACTTTGCATTTACAGACCTCCAACAAAGCGAGCTTTAGATAATTTCATTTTCTTAGAAAATCTAGAGATAACTCTGAACAAAATTAGTAATTTATCTTTTAAAGCCATTGTTATATGTGGATATTTCAATATTGACTTTCTGGGCGAATCTCACGAAAAAAAGCAGTTTCACAATTTACTGCATTCTTTTAATTTAGATATTACTGTGAATGTACCTACACGGAATACATTTACATCACAAAAAGCAATAGATAAAATTATAATAAACAAAACCACTACTAGATATGAAATAAAAACTACTAATCTAGGTTACAGTGACCATGATGCACAAATTCTTACAATTATTAATAACATGAGCACTGACCCAAATTATACACGCAAGTGCAAAGCATATCTTTCTCAAAACTTTCATTTCAATTCAACGCATGCTTTCCTCTCAAAAAGAGAAAATTAAATATTTCACATAAAAATAATACTTGGATCACACAAGGTATTAGAACATCGTGTAAAAACAAACGTACGCTTTATATTATTTCTAAACATCATAACGTATTATCGGGTTTCCACATCTACTTCCGAGAATACAAAAGCATCTGAAGGAAAGTAATAGTTCAGGCAAAAATAATGAAAAATAATCAGGATATTTTAAACGCTAGTAACAAAAATAAAGCAATGAGAAATATCGTAAAAAATACGACCGCATCATCTCGTTACTTAGTGGAGAATGTTGTTTTAAAGGATAATGAAAGAAAAGCCAGTAATCCATAAAAAAGGGCAAATCTCTTCAACCAACACTTTTCTAGAATTCAGGCTGAACTCATGAAGGGACTAAAACCTCAAAATTTAACATAATTACCTTCCCAAATAATTATCGACACAATGTTTAATTCCGAAACTTCTTCTAACGAAATCTTACGAATAGTCAGTAAACTATAAAATAAATACTCATCTGGTTTATATGAATTTCCGGATTGTTTATTGAAAACTTGTGTACCTGTCTTTATGCCTCCGTTACCTCACATTTTCAATGCTTATTTTTTGCACAGGAATATTTCCGGATATTTTCAAAACAGCAAAAATTAAGCCAAATTAAAACTTTTTAAAAAAGGGAGCAAAAATGAATTTGAAAATTACCGACTAATTTCTCTTTTCTCAGGTTTCTCAAAAATATTAGAGAGGCTTTTCTTTACGCGAATGGAAACATTTCTCAGGAAAAACGAAGCGTTTTCAGATTCACAACATGGATTTAGACAATAAAAATTTACGGAAATTGCCATTTTTTCTTTTCTTAAAGATGTTGCTTCATCAATGGACCAAAATGAAGCATCCATTGGAAATTTTTTAGATCTTTCGCAAGCTTTTGAGGCTATTGATCATAATATCTTGGTATCAAAAATACATTCTTATGGAATTCGTGTTATCGCCCTAAATTGGATAACCTCGTACCTTAATGATCGATCTCAAAGAGTAGAAATACCGTACTGGCACGGAAGGCCATTATTTACTTATCTTTCGAATTCTTTACAAATTGAATATGGGGCCCCGCAAGGCTCGATCTTAGGTCCTATCCTCTTTCTGTTATACGTAAAGGATATCCCGTCGTCTTTTAAAAACAGAAGAACGGTACTGTGTGCGATGACACGAATGTTCTTTGCAAAAAAGAAACAATAAATAGTACGATTTTAGAAGTTTCAAATTTTTTTGTAATAATAAATTGATAATTAAGGAAAAAACATTTTCAATTCATTTTTCCATTTCAAATCAGCAATTGCATGCTCCATTGAAAATGAATAATATGCAATTAGCTCATGTTTAGATAACAAAATTTCTAGGTCTTTCAATTCAGTCAAATCTCAAATGGAATGTACATATAACGAAATTAAACACTAAATTAAATTCATTATGTTACCTTTCAGAATTCTTTCAAATTTTGTCAGCCGTTGCGTGTATTTTCAAATGTACATTTCCGCCTGAGATATGGCATAAAATTCTGGGGAAACTCATCATGTAGTACTCAGACCATTAGATTGCAAAAGAAAATTATTCGAATAATAAAAAAATGCCATCCGCGTGATCCCTGAAAGCCTCTCTCCATTGAGCTTGGAATCTTACTACTGCCTTGCCTATGTATTTACAAATCTGTAATATTTGTCAAAAATGACTTACTTAACGGTGGGTACATATTTTCATGCAAGACTGATATTTATAATTACAACACACG